TTCTCGTGCATGATTTATTCGATGGATTTATTATGTCATGCATCGAACTTCGGCCGAAACAATGCACATTTTCGACATATTTTCGAAATATTCGCTTCGCTTCTCTGTATGCTCTAATTTCTTTTGTATGGATTTGCCGCTTTCATTATCGTCGTTGGTATTAAATCAGCTTAAAAATATTTGACAGTACCCTCGAAATGACGATGCATAGAAACGAAACATATGCTTGAAATGAGCTCACTATTAGATGAGCGAAAAAAAAATACTGCGGGCAATAAAGGCACACATACAACTGAATGTTGTACTGTACGTTCGAATGAAAACGAAGAATTGTTAAATAAATATTAATGAACTGTTAAAATAAATATATATTAATTATCATAAATTTTAGTCGGTTGACTCTAGCCGTATTGTCGGCATAAAAAAGCATCTGTTCATACTTGGTCAAACATATTTTTTGCCTCTTTCACTCTCTCTCTGTTCCACTCATTGCATTTCGGTCTATTTTCTCATTCAAATTTATTCGATGATGTTCAGATCGCGTTTTTTTGATTGTGGTCTCGGTTATTGCGTTTATTTGTAAGTTTGTCCCTGTCACTTGTTGATTTCTTTGTAATGATTAATTCATCTCAAGAAACACAAAAATCGAGACGACCAAATAAAAATTACTGTGAGACAAAGAGGCGTGCAATCAATCAAAGAGTCGGTGCTATAAACAATAAGTGGTGGCTCCAACAAAAAAGTGGCATAATAATTTCCAACGAAAAATGTGCGATCGAATGTTAAATGCGAAATTTTCTTTGGCTCTGGAAATAGCCATGAAAATACCGCATGCATATAAAATGGATGCCATTGTAGTTGGTTAGCCGTTCTTCTTTTCTGTGTCTCGGTCTCTTCTGTTCGTGCTCTTTTCTCGAGATTGCTTTGGCGATGCGAATTCTATGCACCATTTTGCCCAAGCATATGTATGCATGCATGTGTGTGTGTCACGGTTGATGATGAAAAGAACGAGCGAGAAGGAAAAAAACAGTCACTCGCTACATCAAATGAGAAAATATCATTGGAGTGTCGTTGTGGCCGCGCGCGCTCTCGACCGGGCAATATTGAACAAAGTCTCTTGTTCGTTTGCTCTCTCACTAACTCAAAACTGCGTTTGTATGCAGCTTCTGGTGTTGTTGTTGTTGATTTTTTTTTTCTTAACATATATGTATTCAACGGTTATCTGTGTATGCAGTTGAAGAGTTCAATGCATGTGAATATTCCCTTTCATGACCGTGAGTGCCCGCATTCATTTTGATTGGGTGTTATTTTATGTGTCTTTCAACCGCATATTACAAACAATGAATAGTCAATTTCAAATTGGTTTAACTCATTCGAAATTTTTCGTGTATTTTTCTCGGTTTTTATTAAAATTGCTGCTATTGATTTTCAAACGAGCACAATTTTTATTTTAGTTTTCTCACAAAGTTCACACGCAAAATACAGGCGAACAAGTAAAATACGAATGAAAAAAAAAAATCGCGCGCGCATTTTCCTACAAAGTAGCGCATCGAACTTGTCGTGTGGTTGTTAGTTTTTTTATTTTTCTATATATATTTATATGAGCACACACCAGAGGCACGAACAAAAAAAAATCGCACACACACGAGCCGATTGCATCGATGCATTCGCGCAAAGAGAAAGGCATCTTAACTGAATGTTGGTTGGTTTCGGTGTGTTTGTGTATATTTTAATGAATATTTCTACATTCCTGTTCCTGTACCAGAAAATTTTCAATATAATTGCGAATATTTTCAATTCACCATCATTCACATATATTTTGTGTGTTTTTATTGCGACTTTTACCGTTTGCATTCCAGTAATAATAGCAACAGCAACCAAAAACGAAAAACAACAAAACTATGCAAGATTGTGACGCTTTTATGGATGAAATCAATTGCAATCGCGCAACATTTGCTTTGGACGTAATGACGTGATGGAACATGACTTTTTCTTATTCGCCCAATGTCTCTTTAGTATTTCTTCATAATTTCTCAAGTTTCAATCATGCTTGTCAGTTAAATTGTGACATGACTTTCATATTTAAAAATACACTCAATCACCAGCCACTTCGAATAATTTTGATTTTCATTTTCATTCCTTTGTGTTAGGAAGGTATTAGACATGTTCATATTCAAAATGAATTGTTATAGCCAATCTGCATACTAGCTGCGTTTGAACGGAATACAGTGTTCTGCCAACGAATGAAAAGAATCGAAGAAAAAGAAGAATAACGTTGCTCTCACACCTTTTTCTTATTAAAAATTCTGAAAGCGTTTCTGGTCTTAGAATGAATGAAAACATGACCATGTTTCTGAAAAAGCGTACAAAAATAGTCAATAAAATGTCTTCAGGGATCAGCTGAATGTGAATGGCTTTTAATCGGTATCGTGTGTTTTATTTTTCAGTGAACATTTTTGTTCATTCGTTTTTAGCATAATATTGTCATTTGAAATGCATTTTTATGATGAGAAAAAAGAAGTTGGTGGTTATCAGATAAATTGGACGACGTTAAATTTGAATGCATATACTTTTTTCGGCTAGTTTTCAGTTACTTTTCAGAACGGCGTCGCTTGAAATTGGCTTATACCCGAGACACAAACACACTTACACAATTTGATGTTTTAATGTATTGCGCATATACGATATGTTGGCTCTCGCACACATTTACGTAAAAACATGTTTTTTTTCTCTTCGCTTGCTTAGTATACGATATATTCCGGATTAACGTATTCTTAATTTGGTTGGTTCTGATGCTTTGAACGACGTTCATACATATATACATGTGCACACTGTGCCTCGGCAAGTGTGAAAATATATACATATATTTATATATATGTATAATGGCTAAGAGCGTTCATACATAGTTTTAGACTCTAGAGGATGCATGAAAGAGAGAAGAGGTGCCAACGTAGCGGGCCAACGAACGAGAAGCACCACTGAGAATTGTACGCCAGCATACGCACACATTGAAAGGCCAAACGAACGAGCAAGCACATCGAGTGATTTGGTAAATTTATAAATGTGCGTAGTAAAACGCGTTATGTACACATATATCGAAAAACCAAGAGGAAAGGAACGCACTTTGTCCAAAAAGTTTAGTTTTGCTTTTGGGCTTGATGGAGATCCATACACATGCATAGATATATATCGAACGCCAAAACCGAAACACACAGAGAGACCCAAAGTGAAAAGACGTAGCGAAAAAAGCCAATCCAACAAGAGAAACCAAAAACTGAAGATAGAAGAAGTTAGGCAGTGCTTGTGTCTCACACTGTATATTGTACAATATACACAGTGAACGTTCTCAGCATATCTATCTATAACGTGAATGCGTATGGTGAGTCGCGTGAGTGTGCGAGTGATGTAATGCTACTTTTTCTTTGTGGCAGGCACGCGTACGCTTTGTGTGCTATGCGTGTACATGTGTCTCTCTATCGATGTATGGCCATTCTCTGTGTCTCCCTTGCATGTATGTGTGCCTTACGAAAGATTGGCTGTATGTTTTTGCGTGTGTGTATGTGATGAATTTCGATCGAAAATAAAATGTACAGTCGAAGTTTAGAATGTACGTACGCGGACTCCGTTCAAATGTGTAAAGTGAAACAACAGAAGAAGAAAAAAATATAGCCCAAGAAAAGAGTCGCGCGCGCGGCCATTGTTGAAATAAAGCGCGGATATTTCGTATATGAACACATCACACGGTTTGGTTCGGTTTGAAAATGTTGTGTGTTTTTTTCTTCGTTCTTCTGTTTCATTTTGTTTGAGCCATGAATCGATCGAAGAAGAAGTCAGGAAAAAAAGAAGAAAAAAAACCGCGCTCGCTGCACTCGCTCTAGCCATGCATTTTTAGGTGTATATAAAAAGCGCTTGGGCGAGATGTGTGATGTGAACCGAACTCACCGAACAAAGGCATAATATAGAAATACAAAACATGAACCAAAGAAGGAGATAGACAGAGTAGAGTAGAAAAAAAAATATCAAAAAGACAACAAGGAATTCTGTAGATTAATAGATTATATAAAATTGAATTTTGTTCAGTATTATTTTTTCTTTTCTTTTTTCTTTCATTTCTCTCGGGCATTTGCCACATGACTTTCTTTTTCTGTTCGTAAACTCAATGCATATATGTGTGTTATCCATCGTTTTTCTGCTTCGTTTGTTTTGGTTAATTTCATTTATGTGAGCGCGTCTTCTTTCAACTAATACAGTTTTTTTTTGTTGTGTCAGAAAACGTTGGTGTCAAGAACTTTGATTCTCTTTTCCGAGTGCGTGCTGAATAGATTTTTGTTTTTAATTGCTTTGGCAAGCGAACGCGCGCGCATTAAACCGAAAATCATTTCCACTGAATGGATAATATGGGTGGAAAAGCGCGCAACATTTACGCATATACCCAGTGCATATACACACAAAACACATATAAAATTGAAAGAACAAAACGGTCTTGTTTATGCTTTGGTTTTCGTTATCGATTAACGGCCAATGTTGTTTGTTTGCTTATGATTTCGAGCGTATTGTTTTCGTGCATAGATATAAAAGTCAAAGAATTAACGGTGTACCTATTAATTAATCTATGAAATGGACATGAAACACGCACATTGTTTTCCTGTCCAACCTGAAAATTGAATGTTTATTTTGAAAAAGGAACAAAAAAAAACACGAAGAAGAGAATAAATGGTATATGCATGGCTATCAATGGTCTTTCCCTTTGAATTAGAATCGAATTTGAATGTGGTCTCGATTACAAAACTGCTGAGTAACATTCAAACGCGTGACGTATTTATGTGAAAATTCAACGATTAGAAACGATAAACGAGCGAAACGACGTTTGGTACGTTTTTTGTGAAATACAATGATTTGATGACACAATGACACCATGACGAATGGACGAATTGTGATATTTCGCGAATTCAATTTGATTTTCGATTGATGAATCGAACTAAAGAGTAAAAAACACCTACCGCTTGCTGATGCTGGTTCGTCTGTGGATGTTGTTGATTTGTTTGTTGATGCGCTTGGTTATGTTGTTGGATCTGTTCAACATTTTGACCAGTTGTGTACCACCATTGTGTGCCCGGAGCGGCTGCACCAGTATTTGCAGCGGCTGGTGCCATATTCAAGCGATAATCATAGGCACCGGCATTTGTTGTGGCCACCGTAACTCCACCAGCTGGATTTTGAAAACTGCTAGCCATTTTGTACGAGAAAATCTGTTGGCCTGGTGCATTTGAATTGATACTGCGCGCAATATCATTGTGTTGTTGGCCTTGCGGTGTCTGTTGTACGACATGATGTTGTTGAATCTGCACTTGTTGTTGCACCAATTGCTGATGTTGCTGTTGCTGTTGATGATGCTGATTTATCAATTGTTGTTGATGCATATTTTGTTGATCTTGTGCACCCGGCCACCAAACAGCCTCTTCACGAGTGCCCCATGCACCTCGATGGTGCTCTGACATTTTGTTAATGTGTTTGTGTTGTACTGTACTCCCGCTTAATCCAAATATCAATAGATGAAATCCTCGGTTCCAGGATTTCCTCGGGATTTTATTCCTTGTTTTATCGAGTTCACAAACACTGTACTAATATAATAATATATTCCTTTGTTTATTTATCTTTTTCTCACACTATTTCTTCTTCTTCTTCTTCTTCTTCTTCTTCTTTTTCGTATAATATATCACTGAATCAATAAAATGGTTTCGATCATGCCATTAACTGTTCGATTTTTTTCTCTCTTCGAACTACAAATAAACTGCACTTTGGTATTCTCCACTGAACCAAATGTTTTTAATTTTGATTTCGATACTAGGTACTGCATGCACTGTATAATAAAAATATAGACAAATTAGCGGAGGTGCGAAAAGTGAGCAGAAAGAAAAACAACGACGAACAATAAAAATCATATGTGTCTCGTTTATGATTTTTGTCGTTCGTTGGTCTTTTTTTTCTCGTGTGTGTGTGTCAAAAAAAAAAACGTTTCCTTCTGCTGCCTTTTTTATGTTATGATTCTGATTATATTTTCGTTTTGTTCTTTTCTCTATTTTGTTTCGTTTTCTCTTTTTTCTTGATATTCTTGTGTATAGTCGATTTCATTTACTAGCACCACACAATAAATTGTATACAGATTTCAAAAAAAATATAACGAGAGAATATAAAAAAAATATAGCACACACAAAACGAAGAATGTACACTTCTTCTTGCCAATTGAATATTTCAACAACAAAAGATCTATAGTACGCGCGCTGCTACAACACTAAACGAATAGGGGCCACAGTACACAGTGAAGCACACTGTATGAGAGAAGAAAAAAAATCGCGACAGTAATCTGAACGGCAGCACCGAGTATTAAAACGAAAAACCGAACAACGAATCAACAGCAGCGTTCTCTTTTTGGTTCGTGTGGAAAAAGACGAACAATACAAAGATGTCTGCCCTGTGTGTGCATGGCACATTACATACGACTACGATGTGGCTCTGTATGTACATAAGCACAAGCGAGCAGCAGCAACAGCAACAACAACGGACGACAAAGAGCAGAGAAGGCAAGCAAGCACAAGAGAAGAGAGAAGCGAATACATGCTAGTGGCCACTATATAGTATATACTTTCATGTATGGTTCATGTAATTCCAAACTATTCTTGTTGCCTTTGAGGTTTTATAATGTCCGAATTCTTTTTGCTTTTTTTCATGCTGCTGCTTTTTGTTTGTTCATTTTCACCTTAAAATGCTATTCAATGCGAGCAAAAGAACGGCGCGAAGAGCAAAAAAATACATTGTTCGCATTCTTCGTTAGTCTGTCGATTCGGTTTGCTTTGTTTTTGACGAAAGTGAAAGTCGAATTATTAACGATTTCAGATGAATTGTCGGTTCGATTTTTTTTTTGTTGGCGAAAATTTAAATGAAATTGTAACAGACGACCACCGCCACCATTCATTCGTAAGCGGCTTAAAATTTTGTCATTTTGAAAATGTGCTTTGAACACTTATTTCTTTGTTTTGAGCCTTTTAAAATTATCCGGAAATAAGATTAATTTCTTTAAATTAGATTTCAAGAGAATGTTGTGCGTTCGGATGAAATTTCATTTGAATATTTTTCGGTATTTTTCCATTTCGGTTCGGTGCGGGTAGACAAAATTTTTATGAAATCGTAGAAGAAGAGAAAGAACATGGTTGCCAAGCTAAAAATGCTTGAAGCACGACCGCTCTGCTATTTCGTACGAACAACGAACGTCCGTGCAAGAAGAACGAAACGATGAAGAAACAGGACAGAGAATGCAAGCTGTGTGCTGTATGTATCCCGCTTGTGTGTTGTGTGTGTTTTTTTTTTTGTTCGAAATGTCCACTAATACTATTGAACGCACACAGCTTGTGTGCGTGTGTATTTGTCTCTGAATCGTTGTGTGTGTATGGGAAGCGTGTGTATGCACACGAGGCAAATGTAACTGTGGCGTGCTTATGTGCGTGCATCAAATGCTCAGATCAAGCAGCAAATGAAGAACGATCGAAAGAACGCTCTTTTGAACACATGAAATGACGATAAAATAACAAACGAATTCGAATTGAATTTTGGTGTTTGAAAACATGCCGTTTGACATTGTGTACGGTTTTTATTTTGTGTTCGGTCAGTTTTTGTTTTTGTTCATTTGATTGATTCACGGGGTGGAATGTTTTTTGTTTTTTCCAATCAATTTGAAATTCATTATTGGAACGCGCCCGTTGCATTTTATATATTTTCATTTCATTAAAACAACAGAAAAAAAGGGACGCGTCTTAATATGTCCTTTTCGGTTTCCATATAAGATAGAATGAACAAAAAACAACGGCCACAAATAATCGACAAACGACACAACAGCACCAGCATACAAATACTATGGCAAAAAAAAAGAATTGAAATCGTTCGCTCACGAACACTGGAATGATGATGTACAACAATTCTTGTATGCATGTAGTGGTACTTTCAAATTAAACTGCGTTGTTGCGTCGCTTATATTACAGTTGAATTGGCAATGATGATGAAAAAAAAAACTGAACAGAATGAAACGAAATGAAAGCAGCAACAAACGAGCTCGCTGTGGCGGGCAAAATATGATTTTTTTCGCTTCTTCTTCTTCTTTGTTTTCTGTTTGAATGCCTTAATGAATCGAAATGGAAATCTGCATTCTGTTTTAAATTACGCCGGTATTCATTTGTGTATGGAATACATCTCTCTCGCGCGTAAACGGCACACACTAATTGTTTTCAGTCACAGCCAATATACAGGCTATCGCTTTGACACTACACGTTTCTGTCGATCGTGTTTTTCTCGTTGTTCACACACGTTGTGCCAAAAAAATAATCACATTTGATCTCTCTTTGCTGCCGTTTGGCATTTTGTGTCACATTTGAACTTTTGAAAAAAAAAAATTATTCCGAGAACAGAGAGAAAAAACAAGAGCTACGAACTCTTTGTCTTTTTGTGTCATGCTAAAATGGCATTGAGAATGCAACGATAATTGTATCGAACAGAAAAATACATCAACGAGTTTTTTTCCATACAAAACAGAAATAAACTTTTTGTTTAGCTTGGTGTTGCAATTAATTCAATATGGTCGGATCGAAGATGTGTGAAACTATTTGAAAACTATTGTCAATTTATCTGTTATTACAACTGCTGCCCCTTTTTTACGCTCCAGTACTATTTAAAATGTGAAGAAGGAAAAATAAACAAACTGATTGTCACAATCAAAGTGGAAAAGGTTGATGCGTGTAATTTTGTTGTTGTTGTTTTGTTTTTCGAAACACCCTATAGCACTAAACTAAATTGAGAAAGAGTAGAGAGACGACGAAAAATTGCGTATAAATTCACGAAATAAAAAAAAATAATGAAAATAAAAGAAACTGTTTCGCTGTCGGTCGACAAATTGCGAGAGACAAAGAATAGTATGATGCATTGCTTATTTTGAACACTAGGCGTGGTAGAAAAAAGGCAGATGTGAATTTTTATAACGGATTCAATTAAGCACATTTTCATGTAATTTCATCTAGAAAAAGAATTCCTTTTTTCTGTTGCTCTTCAATGCCGCCCGACTCCATGAAAATTGTTCGGGTCATAAATCAGTCGGTTTTTCTTTTTCACCGTGTAATTGAATAACTGCCTTGAATTTTTCTTGAAATTTCCACTTAAAACGAAAAATATATGTGTGTATTTTTCACTGTTTATGAGGCAAAAAATTTATTTTTTTTATAACCTATACCGACGGCCGATGAGATTCATCATTCTATTCGATAACTATAGTCTACACTTGAGTTAGCAATAATCCCGCGCGATCTTTGGACGCTTAGGAAATAATGAATGGAACTATACACTGCAATTAGTCACTTGTTTTTGTTTTTTCATCAATTGTTGTTTTTGCTATTGATTTTGCTATTGAAAGCCACTTTCGGCGACTGATTTCACAATGAATTGAAATTTACTTTGTTTGTGTGTATTGAAACAAAACATGTCAACAGATATAGAATTGACACTCTCTCTTTGCTCTTTCTCAAATTAATATTCAATGCGTAAATAAATGTATCCACTTTCGTTTGTTGGGATTCGGTTTACAACATGATTTCAATATGCCCCGTTATACAAATGTTACTAAAATGTGTATTCATTCACGCCAGCTTTGTCAACGTATTTTCTATTCGGATTGTAGTAAAACCGATTGCCGACAATTGACTATCTTCGATGGTTTTGTGTGTGTGCGCGTTAAACTGATGTTTATATTTTTATTGGCAATTAGCAATAAATTTAAACCCAACTGAAGAAGAAAAAAAGCTGAAGGAACTACCGTTCATTTTTTTTTTAATTCTTCGTTTGTAATTTTTTTTGTTGCTGTTGTCGTATAATGATCTTTAATGCACTATAGAGCAACTAATTAAAGAACTAACGAAACAAAATAAACTAATGTGTATTAAAAATACATCACATTGTGCAACAAAACACGCGGAGATTACTTTAATGACGAGATAACAATGTAAAAATGCGCGCGTTAAAACAACCAAAACTGATGTGTGTGCTATGTGTAGAACTTGTGGTACTTTGCTATTACAACAACGTAGTTTCCAATCGGTTTATTCGGGCATCCGTGCCGAATGTGTGTTTCACAACCAACACGAAATTTTACTATATTTCGAATGTAATTCAGTGCGAGTGAACAGTTTAAAAAAAAAGTACGACAAATACAAAAATATTCTCCTCTTTCACGGCAATAGAAATATATATATATATATATATGAGAACCAAAAAAAAAAACACAGAAAAAACGAAACAAACGGAGTTAATGAGAAAAGTACAAAATGAATATATATATATACTATTGAGGAATATAAAAAAAAAACAACAGAAACACAAGAGCTAGCCAAACCACTAACATAAAGTATTTGTGAATTATACGCGACGACGGCTATACTGAATATACCGACTGCTATAAAAGTGTGTATAGTTTGTACTACTTCTGCACATTCTATGAATTGTATATGGCGGCTGAATGTTGCTCTTCGCATTTACGAAGCAAGCATTGGCTTTCGTATTACAACACGAACCAACGATGCATGCTTGTATTGGTTGCTCGCTCGTACACACACATCGATATGCTCATATCATACATGCAACGCGCCAAAAACGACAAAATACATCGGCAACTTCGAGCATTTTTTTTTCTTCTCTCTACACGAAACAATGAGAAGAACTCGCGCGTTCCCCCAAAGAAATATGGCAACGCATAGCTTGTGTATGTGTGTTTGAGATGGTATTGGTTGGAGTCAGAGCAAATGACTCGATTTGTCGTACGTCGTACAAAGCACACATAAGAAAAGTTGGAAGTGAATACACACACATATAGATACGAAATGTATGGCTCAGAAGCGAGGAAGTGGTGCAAACGAGATGGTATGAATCACGAGTGACTGGCAAATTCACGGTGGAAAAAATGAAACGAAACAAACAACAACAGCAGCAACAACGGCTACAGCACAACCAGCAGCACATTTTGCAATCCAAAAACAAACACACTCACAACGTGAGAGTTTCGTTTTAAATTTATTTAGCGCCTTCGCCGAATTCAACGAACATTTCATAGCAAAAAATAAAAGATTTGCACATTTTTTTCCCAATATTTTATGAGCTAAATGGTCGCTTGAATTTTAATTCAAAAATTAACAAAAATTCATAAATTCTTTCATTAAGAATTTTATCCACTTTCCACTCGAATGAAAATACGAACCGATTTTTAAATATATATATAAAATGAGTTCGTACTGCGAACAAAGCATCCATGTGAAAA